CAATAAATAATACAATGGAAATATAATTAATAAATAACAAAATAATAAAAATATAGTAATAAGGAATATTATGGTATTTTTTATGTTTATATTTAAAATATAAATTTGTGTCATAATGGTGGAGACATTGTGTAAACATAATTTTCTCCTTGAACAGAGATTAAATTGTAGTAAATAAGAGTTTGGTTTTTTGAGAAGTTTCTGAAAAATGCTGGTTATTTCTAGGTTTTACAGCTTCTAAGAATTGTTATCTGACATATAGTGATAGATATTTTTGATTAATATTTGTGTATTATTCAGCTGGGTGAAAGAGTCTTCCCCTTTTCACTGTCTTTTGAAAATAATCTTGTATCAAATAGTGTTTGAATGTTTCCTACTTGAGACATTGAAGAAATTTAATTAATGTTGTATGTTTGACCATATTTTTGCCTTTTTTTGAAAATAGCTTAAGAAGAATTACGATTTCAGATCAGACAAGTTAGAACATAAATTACAGCAAAAGGCAAATCACAAATTAATTGCATATTTACAAATGGGTTGAAAAGATCATTTAAACTTGTTTTAATCATTTAAGAGTTGAAACTTGTTCTAATCATTTAGAATAGAGAAAATTGCAACAATTGCATCAGCTATCATTTAAGAAAATATTCTAAAGCTACAGGAATGATAGTTTGTCTACTGTGGTTATACTTTTTAGTTGTTAAAAATAGTTGCCTATTAAACATATTTTCTAAGTGACATGCAGTGTGACTTCTTCCCTTTTAGGATTTCTCGATTTGAGAGGGACCTTAATATGAAAAGACATTTGATAGAAGACTTGCGGTCTCGTCTCAAAGCAAATCAAGCAAATGAGAAAACCTCTAATGAAACATTAGAAAGTCTTGAGAAAAAGGTACTTCGTTCTTGCTATTGATAATTTCAAGAAAAGCAAAAGCTGGTGGATTTACAGAAGTTGTTTCAACACGCTATATGTACGAAATCAATATATTGCTTTAAGCAAACAACATACAGTTAATTTAAGGGTGTAATTCCCTCCACTACTCTGCTATAATTTGTATGAGATCAGTACATGCTGATAGCTTGGCTAGATTCAGCATAATTTAATGTACGTTCATAAGAGGTGTAATTAAATACTAAAGTGTTCAGAGCACTAGGTTGCAAGGATATGCTCTAAGTAGTGAAATTTAGTTTTATGCACTGTAGTTTATAAAATACAGTAGACCTGAAAGAATGGTTATTTTACATGACACATGCTAATTAACTCCATGCACCTTTCCTGAGTATAGTAGTTATATACTTTAGCATGTTAATCTGTTTTCTGCTGCATATTTTGAATGATTCGCAGTTAGCTTAATGTAATTCTGTCTGTGTGGATAGAGCTTAATTTCTGTAGCAAATTATTTTCTCCTGCAAAATTTTAGGACATTTTCACTGAATCTAGGACAACTTGTATATGTTTTAGCATCTTTCTATATTATCAAAGCAGTGTATTACACTCTGACCTTTAGTACCAGAAAAAAAACCCGGCATTTTGTTGTCTGTGAGGTTATGCAGTGTAGTGTCCCAGAACAGAAGTAAACAGTTTACCAATTTGCTTTAGTTTTCCTTGAATGTGGGTGCTTGCTGGATATCACAAGCTCTCTCTCTGCTTGCAGTTGTATAGCACCTTCAGCTCTGGAGAGAGCTGCTGTCTTACCCTCCATGCCAAAGATAAGGTGTTAGTAAGAAATCTGCAGCCAGGGAGCGAGAGCATAAGTAAGCAAGGGAGCTAAAGTATGAAATAAGATAAATACCTAGTTTTGGTTTTAGGTGAAAGGTTTGGAATGGAGCAACGTACGTAAATGCTGTTCATTGAGTATTTTAAGTGCTACATTTCTCATATTCCGGAGAATCAAATTCCATACATTAAATTGATTATTCCATGTGGAGAATCAACTTGATAAATTTTACATTATCTTCAGCAAAAGATCAAATAAATTCCCTATTACTCGATATTGTCAGGAAGACTTTGTGATTAATTCTGCCAGGAGAGCTGAATTTTATAGGAGTGTTGGTCTATTTCATTTTACCCAAAAACATTGTTTGTATTGTATAGCACAACAACAATAATAACAACAATAATAACAACAACAATAATAATCATCATCATCATCATTGAGGCTTTACATACTATTAACTTGTAAACAGTTATAATTTTCTCAGCTGAGTTTTAATTAATGTTTTTACATCTGATAGAAGAAATGAGTGGAAGTTGTGGTTTGGTCCCTTTTGCATGCACTGTAACAGTAAAATACATATAAACAAACAGCTTTGCAAATGAAGAGCTTTTATTTACACTTAAGTCAGAACTTTATGTAACAAGATTGTGTGCATACTAATCTCTACTGTATCAGCTTTAATTAAAGACTAACTTCAGAAAAAGGTACTTCAGTCAAATTATTTATAAAATATAGGTATCTTTATGCAATATAGGTGAGCTTAGTTTTGATTTGATTTTCATTTTTAACTTTTAAATCTTAATAGTTAATGGCTCTTGGCCTTTCATTATTTCAGGTAAAGGCACTGGCTGAAGACTGTTCAAAGAAAAAAAATTCCATTGACTCACTGAAGCAAAAACTTAACACAGCTACAAAAGAGAAATCTCAGTATGAGCAGATGTACCACAAGGCTAAAGATGAGTTAGACAAAAAGGTATAATAGTTGTGATGGCTCCGCTGTGAAACTTTTTCATACCTCACTTTCAAATGATAAGTTGCAAGGTCAACAGCTTAGACATTTTGTATACTGACAGGGAGGAAAGAGCTGATAAGAGAAACGTATTTCTCTGATTTACTTCAGACACATCACTGAAATTTAGATGCTGAAACATGGACATAAGGACTGAGAATGAAGTCACTTTTTCCCATGATATTATGTTTTATGTGTTGCAAGTAGAATGTTCTGTGATAAAAATGGAAACTTAGTTTGTTCAGTTGTTTGTTTGTGGTCTACCATATCTGCCTTTCAGTTTCTGTCGTATCACTGCAGTTTCTGTGTGGATGTGTTTCAGGGTCTCAAGCTTAGCAATCTAGAGAGCAAAATGGTAGAGACTGAACGTGCTATGAATGAACTAGAGACTACTGCATCTCAACAACTAAATTGCTTGGCTAAACAGAGTGGACAGGCTTTGGAAACTATACAGAAGAAGCTGGAGCTCACCAATGACAAAGTGGAAGAGTTCATGACATTCTTGAAGGTTTGAGTTTTGATTTTCTTTTGACTGGCTACCTAAATATAGGTATTCTTGAGTGAAAGTAAAACCTAAAAGATTAAATTAGGCTAATCTTTGATACATTTCCCATTCTGGAACAATCTTAGAAGTTCTTGCACTAGTCTGGTGTCAGCTCTGAACTGGTCTAAACAGGGAGAAAGAGTTGACTGCTCTAGATCTCCTTCCTAGACTTTGGAAGACTTCTGTCTTTTTGTATATGACTGCCAGTGTACTTGTTTCCTAGAAAAAGTGCTTAGTTGTGCAACAGATTACTCTGCAGAAAAAAAAAATTCCCAATATATTTAAGAAAATAATTAATATCTGTTGATTATTGTGAATTACCTCATTTTCCACAAGCACGTGCTTTTTATAGCAGAGATATTAAATAAGAAAGCCTCTATATTGCAATATTGAAAGCAGTTTTGAAAGCATTATGTAGAATATTACTTTCTTATTTTGGTTAAATATTTAATCTGCTACAGTGCAGTTACTGTGTCTGTGGTGTTATACAGATCGCTTCGTCATACTGTTTCAGTGTGAAGTTCTGCAGAACGGACTAGTCTGTGTTTTGTAACTTAATATTTGAAATATAAATGTTATATTTTTTCTGAAATATCTGCTACATAATTAAGAACTATGAATGCCTGTTCAAAATATACCTTGAATTTACTATATGTCTAGTATATACCTATTTTCAGACAAGGTTATTTCTTACTAACCCATGAAACAGATCCACTTCTCTGCTGTTCTTGGATTGCAAATCAGATTGCAAATCTGATAACATCTGACATAAAGAAGGATGGTATATTCGATGCACGGTTTAAAGAAAGCATTTATAGTTATCTCTAATGACTAACTTTCTACTATGCCTTGAAATTTAGTAATTTAAATATTTGTGCATTTTATATGGCAGTTTTTAGATATCTGGCGTGGACCTGAAACCATCCTGTATTCAGTTCAGTTGCAAAATTCACATCAACTTCATTATGAGAAAACCTGAACAAGGCTGAATGCATTTTGAAATCCTAGCTTCAAATAATTTGTAAACTAAAATATCTAACGGGAAAATGATGATTGCATGAAAAAAATCTATTTACTGTTTAAAAAATGAATTTATTTATTTTATAAGTTTGTGGTTAAAGTAAATTATATCTTCTATTTGCCTGGTTCTATAAGCCTTGGGAAAGTGACATAAAATTGTTCACTGTGCCATGTGATTCAGAAGTATCTTGTATATTCTTGAACAACAATTCTTGTTATTTCTCAGGTGGCAAAATGTGGGTTTTTTCTAATACAGAATGCTTCCTCTAAGAGGAAAGAGTGACTACTTTTTCCACAGCTTCATGCTTAGTTTTGCCTGACTATAAGGAAGTCTGAATTAATCTAATGTATTATCTGGCACTTTTTTAAATGAAATAGTTCTGTCATTGATGACAGAGAGATGCAATTCCATCTCTATTGAAGCTACTTTGAATTTTAGAACTTCACTGAATGAACTGCAGTAGCAATTATAGCAAAGTGTTCATACTATCAGTAGTTTACATACATCTATAATGAAAAGCTTGTAAAAAATCAGTAAATGAGAAAGTAAAAGATCTTCTGTTCTCAAAAAGTAGCTGTAATGGGATAGATTGCCTATTAGCAACTATTATGATGCTTCGTTCATTGTTGAATAAGATACTTCTCTGTTAGTTACCGTGAATATTTATTAGAACTTACATGTCTGCACTGTATGTGAAAAGAGTGTTAATATGTAGTATCTCTATAAGTAATAATAATAATAATTAGCTAATAAGGCTAAATATGTTCTTTCTCCCCTGGATAAAAAAATATGCATGCATATTTCAAGTAACGTTTTTGCTGACTGCTATCTTCTGCAGAAAGATTTTTTGAAAATAGAGATGCTGTCTGTAAGTCAAATATTGATGAACAAGGAGTTCCTCAGTAGACTGCTTTGTTTAGGTACTGAATATTTATGGAAAAAAGTTCTCTGAAATAAGACTTTATTCACAGTATACCGCTGTAAAAAATATAATTGAAAATCCTTGGTGTTTCAGTGGAATTTTGTAGTAATCAGGGAAATCCTGTTGAAATACCTCTTAGGCATGGGATGCTATAACCCGCATAGGAGGATTGAGGTGTCACAGTAAGTAGCAGAACTCCTGCCTGCACCAGCTCTTCCTCTGAAGTCTGGTCTCTCTCATTTCTGCTGTCTCCTTCCAGGTAGCTGTTGGTTTTCCCCTCACTATCATTCTCTCTTAAGTTTCAGTAACTCAGATAAGTTTTTTCTGTATAGAGATCAAGTTTAATCAAGTTTAAACTGTCTTTTGCATAACCTGTCTAACATAGTCGAATTGCCCTGTTAACTTCGTCTGCTATTCTGATTACTTCACAAGCCTTACTTGATTTTCTGAGTGCAAGTATAATCTCCTCGTCATTCATCAATTGAATGCAGTTACTTTTTCTAGCTGTTTCATGTCTCTCATGACATTATACATTTTTTTTTCTGACATACAGCAATTAAATCATTTAAGCATTGCTAATTAGCAGCCACAGCTGATAACAGGACAACAGAGGAACTTACAGAGAAGTGAGTGTGGCTCTTTCTTTTTATAGCATACGCTGTTACTGGCCTTTAAGAGTTAGTGATAATTTAGAACCGCAGGATCTCAAATCTGTTTGAATCAATATACAAATATACAAAACCTGAGAGAGAAGTTGGTGACAGAAGTCTGATACACGCTACAGGATCAAATTACAGAATATGATGAATTACTGCTTAAGCACGTATTTGTAACGTACAGTGAAGCAATACATTGCTTTGTGGAGCCCAGTTTGGGACACTTATACAACTAACTAAAATGGCTAGATTGTAAAATATATTAATAGTTCCTAAAAATAGTGGAAGAAATAATTAGCAGTTGCTGTATCCAGTATGTTGTAAGTTATTAGTGGACCTATTTTTATAGAGTGTTATATAGAGGTCAGGTGTTTTGTCCTAAACAACATTCAGTGGGAACCAATGGGATGCCTAAAATAGGTTGCTTCAGAGCAGGTCATTTCTTCAAAGCTGTTATGAGCAAGATAGAGGCTAGCAGAATATATGAATAGAAATTCTGCACCATGACAGTTTATTAAGTTACAAAAACACCACAGTTCCATAATTAAAGTGTAGCTCCTTATAAATATCTATTTCAGTTTGACAGAAAAAGAACACAATATTTAGAAATAACAAAGCAATATAAAGGAAGTGGAAAATGGGTTATAGATAATAACCTAAACATACAAGCAGCAGAGGATGGAGAAAAGGCTAAAGAAATTAAGTGGAAATCTGTGGGTAGCAAGGCCAAGAACAACAGTAAAGGGGCAGGATTAATAATACAACTGTTATAGAGTGAATACAACTCATTATTAGATAAAACAACTCTGTAACCGTGTAAAGATTGAAGTCTTGTACAAATATCTCTGGTTTGTATCTGCAAAGGAAGTAGGCTTATGTTATATGAAGATGATGAAACATTCTCAGTCTATTAGTAGCCAGTGGAAGATTAAGCAACTTCTGTAAAGAAGCAGTATTTTTAAACTGAGAGCTTTTATAGCTTACTGCTGGTTCAGGACTGGTTAAGCATTTTTTCTCTTTCTGATCCTCATTTTGAATAAGTATTCAAAGTAAGTGTATATATACTGTGACTTTGCCATGAGTCTAAAAGACTAATACTGAGTTGATATTTAGGAAAGGGAGTCAGGATAGGTATGTTTTAGGTCAGTTAATCTGACCTCATTTCTCACTACAATAATGAAAATCTGATATGAAATTCAATTATTAAAGTATTAAAGCATAGGAGTATAGTTATGCTTCTTAGAATGGCTTTATTGAAAATAAGTTGCATTGAATAAGTCTGATTTATTTTCTGGAAGGCGGTACAAGTCAGTTCATAAAGGTTACTATTCATTTTAATATACTGGTTTTTAAGATGCCTGACCTATTACTGAGACGTTCAGATAAAAAATGTAGGCTATGCAATATCAATAATATGTTAAATGGATTAAAAATTACCTGTGTGGCTGATTTGAAAAGTAATACATGGAATTTAGGTGTTTCTAAAGTTCTGTATAGATCAGAGCTAAACGTGATTATTGAAGATTTTCGCAGATTTAGATATCAAATCATCATAAAATTTGTCAGTAGCATTTTTGATGACAGATAAATGGTGAAAGTAAGGCTGTAAGTATAGTGTAAGCTAGGGCAAATAAAATATTTTTATTACAGAGGAAAACAAACTACCTGTAAGATGGACCAGGTGGCTCTGACAGTGTTTTAGGTGCCTTTTATAGAGCTAAATGTTTTCATCCCATCCCGCTTTCATCAGCACCATAATTCTCTTTGAATCATGCATCCAATTACTACAGCATACCATTATTCGCTATCCCTGTAGCACATACTGCACTACTGCATCCTCAGGTGCAACTTGTCAGTTATGTGCAGCACAGCAACTGCGTTTGTACCTGTGACTACACATGCAGAAAAAAATACCGCTGGATAAAGTTAAAAAGTTGCTCTTGGCCTGCTTGAATGGATGTCTATCAAAAGTAGGGTACAACATACTAATTTTCTACGAAACTGTCAAAAATCCTGCCTAATTCTGCCAGAACTCTGTTTTCCTTCATTACTGTACTGGCTTTGACCATATATTGCTGTTACAGACCCTTGTCAGCTCAAGACTCATTAGTGTTGTCTGTCCCATCAAGTTGTATATCAGCAAAACTCATTTTAAGTTAATTTGCAGTGATGACATCTGCCTGAGCGTGAAAATACCAGACTTTTCTGACCTTGAAGAAGTTTTGAAGTTTTGATAAGGCACCAATATTCAACTGCAGCTGTAATAAATAGGTGATGGTGGCTGAATGTTTCAAAGTCAGCTGAGTGCATTTCTCACTTCCATAATGCCTCTGTGATTTGGGGCTTGTGTGCCCTCCACAGAGGA